GACGGAGGGAACGGACCGTGGGCGGAGGCTCCTCGCCAGCCGTGTTGTCGATGATGACCTCCGCCGAGAAGGCCGCGGGGCGGACCGATCACTCCTCGTCTTCCGCGTCCTCGTCTTGCACCTCCTCGTCGTCGTCCTCTTCCTCTTCCTCCTCCTCCTCCTTCTCCTCCTGCTCCTCCTTTATGGTTGCCCAAGCATTGCATAGCGATGCGTCGCGCCAACGCATGATACTCTTGTTGACAAGATGCAACGGGTATGACCAGACAACAAAAATGCAAGCTGCGCGCAGAATCAACTGCAAGAGAGTAGAGGGACACAGAGCGTGGAACAGATACAGCCCATAGGCGAGTACACGAGTAAGCACCAAGGCAAGGTTGCACCCCATCCTGCCCCAGCGTTGCCCCAAATCCCAACATACCGATCCAGCGCATCATCAAGGCACTCACCGAGGGTCCGTGCGAGATGTGTGAATGCGCTACACGCTCTGCCCTATCCTGGCTCCTCCTCCTCCTCCTCCTCCTCCTCCTCCTCCTCCTCCTCCTCCTGCTCCACCACCCCATTCTCCCCTTCCACCGCCGTCGCATGCATTTCCTCCTCCACCTTCTTCTTCTCCCTGTCCCTCCCTCCTCCTCCTTCCTCCTCCTCCTCCTTCCTCCTCCTCCTCCTCCTCCTCTTCCGCCCACCTTGGCGGCTGGCGCGGCGAAGCGTGCCCGTCGCCTCGGAGGGTCCACCGCGAGGAGGAGGATGAGGAGGAGGGGAAGGACCACATGTAGGTCGCAACAGCATGCCAAATTTGATCTGCCAGCGATTGTGGTGCTTCAGGCTTTGCCAGTTGAGAAAGGCGAGAGAGAACGAAGCAGGAGCAGGAGGAGGAAGAAAGATACTGAAGCAGGAGAAGGCCTTCTTCCCCGGCTGGCCCGCCAAGAACTCCCCGAGCTTCTTCAAGTCCGTGGACTCTCCCTCAGCTCCCATCGCCTCGGGGGATCCTCCTTCCGCCTTCCTCCCTCCTCCTCCTCCTCCTCCTCCTCCTCCTCCTCCTCCTCCTCCTCCCTCCTCCCCTCCCTCCTCCTCCTCCCCCTCCTCCTCCTCCTCCTCCTCCTCCTCCTCCTCCTCCTCCTCTTCCTCCTCGGTCCTCGGTCCTCGGTCCTCGGTCCTCGGTCCTCCCCCTTCTTTTTTCCAGGGCGCTTGTCCATCCCCCTCTTTCGTTCCTCCTCCGCCCTCCCTCATCCATCCTCCCTCCGCACGTCCACCTCCTCCTCCATCCATCCCTCCCGCCCTCCTCCATCCTCCCTCCTCGGTTCCCCGAGCCTCCAGACTGGAGAGTCCGCCCTCGGAGAGCTGCATGGACTTGGAGCGCGCGACGGCGACAACCTTGCGGAGACAGTCCGGCACGTGCCGGGAGGGCAGGGAGCAGCGGCTGCAAGCAGCGGCACGCAGCAGCAGCGGGTGCTGCCCTTGCTGAGGGGAGGAGCGCAGCCAGAAGCAAGGCGGGGAGGGGGGAAGCAGTGGATGATGGCAAGTGACGCCTTAAGGTCAAGAGGGTCCGAGACGTTGGCACCCCTCTCTGCGGCCGTCTTCGTTGGCCGAGGAACCGTAGGGAGGGCCGAGGTGAACGCAGCCGACGTTTTTGCTCAAGGAACCCCTGTCTGGGGAGCTTCCCTCCGCCCGAGGAGATTCACGCCCGGATTTGCGCAGACTGCTCGGGAAGTCTAGGCAACGACACAATCTCCCGAAGCCAAGATGGTCCTTGTTCCGACGAGTTGACTGCATGATGAAGAGGAAGCAAAGTGGGAGCACGTGGCGGAGAAGTGCACCAGCAATCAGAAGGGTAAAGACAACAGTGCACCGAGGAACAGCTGCAGCCTGGCAGATCGGCGCGGCCAAGTGTGGCCGACTCCAGAACCTCTTGATCAAGAACCCCGAAGATTCGATGTCTTGACTTTTTCGACACGCGGCCCCCGCAGGTCCAAACCCTTTCTCCAGGACTGGCTCTCCATCCTGAGCTGCGTTTTCACAATCCCAGAGCCTGGCAAGGGCCCCCAGAGGCCAAAGACGGCGACAAATCTCCGCTCTGATATTTCAATACGAAAGAGATCTGGGAGAGAGCGCGATCCACCGCCGCTTTACTGTGGAACATGTCCCCCCTTCTTTCTCCGGAACCCGGGGTTCCCCCCCCCCTCCGAAAATTCCCCCCCTGCTGGACACCCCCGCCCCTCCCCCTTCCCCCTAGCAAAACCCCCCCTCCCCTAACCCCCCCCCCCTCCGGAAAACCGGGGGGGTCACTACCGGTTCGACCCACCCACCCCCTCTCCCTCGGGAAAACCGGAAACCCGGGGGGGGTCACTACTGGTTTGAACACCTCCCTCCCCCCCTCCAAAAAACCAGAGGGGGGTCACTACCGGTTCGAACCCCCCTCCAGAAAACCGGGAGGGGGTCACTACCGGTTCGAACCCCCCACCACCCCTCCAGAAAACCAGGGGGGGTCACTACCGGTTCGAAACCCCTCCCCCCCCCCCTCCCCCAGGCTCACCGCCAGCAAACGACTCCCAGGTCCCTACCACCGTCCACACCACATCCCCCACTGCAGTCCCAGCACCACTGTCCTCACCACCACCGTCCCCACTGTTCCCACCACTGTCCCCACTGTCCCCACCAGTGCCCCTACCACTGTCGCACTGTCCCCACTGTCCCCGCCACTGTTCCCACCACGGTCCCACTCTCCCCACTTTCCCCACGGCCCTAACCACTGTCCCACTGTCCCCACTGCCCCACTGTTCCCGCCGCTGTCCCACTGAGCTGTCCCACTGTTCCCACCACTGTCCCCACTGTCCCCACCACTGTCCCCACTGTACCTCTGTCACAAGAGCCTCTGTCCCACTGTCCCACCGCCGTCCTCGCCACCGCCCTCACCACTGTCCCCACCACCACTGTAACCTCCACTGTCCCACTGTTTCCACCACATTCCCACTGTCCCCACATCACTGTCCCCACCACCACCGTCCCCACCACTGTCCCACTGTCCCCACTGTTTCCACCATTGTCCCAGCTGTCCCCACCAGTGCCCCCACCAGTGTCTCACTGTCCCCACTCTCCCCATTGTCCCACCACGGTCCCGCTCTCCCCACTTTCCCCACGGTCCCCACCACTGTCCCCCCACCGTCCCCACAGTACCCACCAGTCCCAGTGTCCCCGCCGCTGTCCCACTGTGCTGTCCCACCGTCCACACTGTCCCCACCACTGTACCACTGTCCCCACTGTCCCCACCACTTTCCCCACTGTACTACTGTCCCACCACTGTCCTCACCACCGCCTTCACCACTGTCCCACCCCTACTGTCCCCACCACTGTCCCACTGTCTCCACCACTGTCCCGCTGTTCCCTCACCAGTGTCCCCACCACCACCGCGTCCCCACCACTGTCCGCACCACTGTCCCACTGTCCCCGCACCACTGTCCCCACCACCACCCTTCCCACCACTGTCCCAGCATCCCCACCATTGTCCAACTGTCCCGAGGAGCGGGAATCGTTTGCCGGCGGCGAGGGGGGGAAAGGGGGGTTCGAACCGGTAGTGACCCTCCCCGGTTTTCGAGGGGGGGGGGCTCGAACCGGCAGTAACCCCCCCCCCGGTTTTCGAGGGGGGGGGGACGGGTTGGGAACCCCCAGTGACCCCCCCCAGTTTTCCGCCAGCAGCGGTAGAACACACTCTTTCAGATCTGGGACTATTGACGTCTTCCTCGAGCCTGGATTTTCCCAGGGCCCAAGCCAGCGGGGAAAAAATGGCTGCAAATCCAACTGCCGGTGCTCCCGCGCTGCCGACCAGTCTGCTCGCCCTCCATCCCTGGGCCCCCAACTCGCCCAACCGCTCACCCAGCTACCAAGATACCCTGACTTCGGACCCGCCGTATTTTGGTGGATTTTGCGACTTTAAGATTGCGTCGGACATCCACCCCAAACGATGCGAAACCTGCGGGCGGAGATTTCCGCCTCAGAGAAGTAAAGGTGATATGCGGAAACAGCAACGGCAAAGTAGGGCGGAAATCGATGTCAAAGGAGCCTTTCAAGAGTAGGGCGGAAATTCCCGCCCTGCTGACGAAATCGCACAGAAAATACGGCGGATCAGGAATCTGGGTTACCCACTGATGAAATCGTGTTACGCTCACTCTTACTTCCCGCCGAGCTCTCTGGAACCTGTGGACCCAAAACTGGAACACCCGCAATGGTTACCCCAAAAATGGGCACGATGCCCACCTGCACATGTCGCCCGAAACCGACAACGGCCGCTGCCGGGCAGGCGAATTTTGTCTGAAACGGACAAAGCCTGCGGCGACACAGACAGCGAAGCCACAACGAACAGGCACTGCTGTCGGTCTTCGTCCCCATGCTTTCCGTAACCATCTCGGCCGTTCCTAGACAAACGCGTTCCACTACTTGCAAAGAAACTACCCGAAAAAGGCCAGGATCCACCTCGTACGATGTACGATCCATTGCGTCGAGGCACACATATCTTATTCGGACTTTTGCGAGTAAGCACTCTGCGAGCAGTGGACCGCGCTCAGTGAGCCCCGGCAGAACGGTTGACGTCTCGCTCGAGCGTGGCCTTCCCGGGGCCCGGCCGAAAGGCGCACCAACGTGGCTGCGGCTCTGGCCCCCCCGCTCCCCGTGCCGACCGTGCCGCTAGCCCTCCATCCCTGGCCCCCCCCAGTCTCCCTAAGGCAGGTTCGTGTCGTGCCGACTTCGGTGGTGGTTCCTGACACCGCGGGGATCGTTCAACCCTGAACGATCGGCCGTTTCCGAAACGTCAGATCGTTTAACATTGACCGATTCTGCGAGGCGGGCGGCGTTGAACATTGAACGCCGGCGGCGGGGTCGCCGCTAGTCGACTCGACACGAACCTACCGCATCAGTCTCTCTACCCTTCTCCTCCTCCCTAATTATAAATCTACCCTTCTAACTAACAGCCTCCCTACCCCATCAACCTCTCTCCTCCCTCTCAGTCTCTCTGCCCTTCTCCTCCTGCTGCCTCTCCTCCGACTCCGCTGGCCAGCAGCCGATGCAGCAGCGCTCGGCGAAGGCCTGCCCAGGGGTCCCAGGCAGCGGCCGCCCTTTCAGCGCGCGCCGCTCGCAACGCCCACCTAGTGCGAAAATCGCCAGCCTGCGGAATGCGAAGGCAATGGCCAGAAAAATGTCCCTATCCTCTGTCTTCCTCAAACAAGGTCGCAGTGGCATCCGACTGGGATCCAAGTAGGATCCCGTTGGAGTCCTATTAAAAACCTGTTGGAGTCCTAGTGGACCGAGGGACGACAGATGACGGAACGAACGCGCCCAGACTGGTGGACTTAGAAACACGACGAGCGGCGCGCCGCCAAGTCAAGCGGTGGCCGCGACGAAAGACGGAATGAGCCTGCTTTTTCCTCAATTCTTCTTCCCATCCTTAGCGGGCCCTGGAAACGACAAGTCACACATTGCACAATTTTAGTTGTGCGCTGTTGAACAGTTTCCGTTACATGTTAATAAACTTCCGGGGCGCCACTATTGGCAATGTTCGTTTCCCCTGGTGGGGGCCTGGTCCTGATCACCGTTTGGTTACTGGATCCGAGCCGTGTTCGAATTGGTTCCGAACGTGGTTCGGATCCTCAATCTGCCCATGCCGTTTCGGTAAACCGCTTTTCTGCCCCTGTCGAGATCAAGGGGCAGCTTTTGGCTGGAAGCTATGAAAAACTGCTCTGCGACTTCGTGGGCCCCATCCCTGCTCTTCCTGTAGTTTCACCCCGTGGTTGGCAGCAGAGCCCCGGGTTCCACAGGTTGCCTCTGGTCGCATCGCCATGTGAACGGCGAGAGTCTGAAGACCTTCCAAAGGGCTCCCTGTGGGCCTCTTGACGCCTGCGGGGAGCCTCTTGGGCGACCCTGGGAGCTCCTTGGGGGCCTATTCCCTATTCAATGGCCTGTCGAGGGGCCAGCTGGCGGTCTCAGGAGCCCTCTTCGGGGGAGGGCCCGCCAGAGGCCCCTGCGAGTTCTCCCCTCTGGACCCCGTCGCTGTGTTGGGTGTCGTCTTGACCTCTTGGGCCAGCTCGGACGCTCATAGAACCGACAGGGCGAAGAGGCCAACATCATACAGGGCCTTAGCTGAGCCTTCATGGGAGCCTCTGTGGACCTCCGCGATCCAATCATAAACGTGATTTCGACTGGAGTTCGTCCAGATCTCGACCGCCCCTTTCCACCACTTTGTCCAGACTTCGTCCAAACTTCGCCCAAGTGTCGACCACGTCCGACGACGTCCTGACGAAATCATCTAAGCCGCCAGCAATTTGGGGACCTGCTGAGGCTCCCATGAAGGACCGTTTTAGAATACCTGTCTTTTTCAATGCTCTGCTTTGGGGGCGGGCACCGAGGGCCCTCCATGCAGACCAATGCTCTCCCCCCGAGGGCGTCAGGACGGGCCCGCCGAAACCATCTTGAAGCACATCGGAAGTCTGGATCCCGAGCCGCGCTCCCGAGGCCTCGAGGAAACTCACGCGGCACACTCCGAGAGCGCGCGAGGCGCGCCCGAGACATACCGGTTATCCAGTCGCCGTCGCAGGCGCCGCCAGGAGTCGGCGTCGTCGTCGTCGTCGCCGCCGCCGCCGCCACCGTCGCCGCCGCCGCCGCAGCCGCAGCCGCCGCAGGTCTGGAGCCATTGAGACGAGTTTTTGGTCAGAAGCTCTTGCTTAGCGTTGTCTCGGTAGTGGCCCCAGCAACACTGTATGCCTTGCAAGTGGGTCGAATGTCGCTCTGTTTCGTGGGGCGGGTGGCTGGGAAGAGTCCGAGACGTCGACGCTTGGAAATGGGGACGTGGTTAGCGTGCCGCTCCGAAGCATTATGGGCCAGAACTGGCGGAGTGACACGCTAAGCAAAAAACTCCACACCATACTCAATACGGAAGACTCGGAGGGGCCAGGGCCTGGGGACACTCCACTGCGCGCACGGGGCACAACGGCGCGTGTCGGATCATCATGGATCATCAACCATCGTGCCGCAGGCCCTTGCCCTCCGCTCCCTCAATTCTCACGCTCCGCCCATCCGCCCTCCGTGCATTGCCTCGTCTGCCCACCCGCCCTTCTGCTCTGGGCATCAGGCCAGCAAGCTGGCCGCCTGGACGCCCGTCCGCGCGGCAAAGGTGACCAGCACTGGGGGGTTCGTGATGGGGAGGAGGAGGAGGAGGAGGAGGAGGAGGAGGAGGAGGAGGAGGAGGAGGAGGAGGAGGAGGAGGAGGAGGAGAAGGAGGAGGAGGAGGAGGAGGAGGAGGAGGAGGAGGAGGAGGAGGAGGAGGAGGAGGAGGAGGAGGAGGAGAGGAGGAGGAGGAGGAGGAGGAGGAGGAGGAGGAGGAGGAGGAGGAGTAGGAGGCGGGGGAGGGGATGAAGAAGATCGAGGGTCCAATATCAGTGTCATTTATGGGAAGGCTTGACACTTCTCGGGCCTCTGGGCGCTCCTGGATGCCCACAGGAACCTCCAGAGGCCCCTGGGAACCTTGGGGGACCGCTGAGGACACCCATAGACGACCTGTGTGAGAAAAGCGGGCTGCTCAGAAGAATACGAGCAGAGAAAACCACCGATGCGAATATGTGTCCCGGCTAAGACCACGTGGGTGAGGCAGTGGCCTCCGGATTCTGCGGCCGTGTCGCGATTGAGGTAAAAGTGATGATGATGATGATGATGATGATGATGATGATGATGATGATGATGATGATGATGATGATGATGATGATGATGATGATGATGATGATGATGGTGATGGTGATGGTGATGGGGAGGAGGGGTATAGAGCAGAGGAGTAGGAGGAGGCGGAGTGGAGGATAAAGAGGAAGACGAGGTGACGAAAATGAAGGAGAGGAGGCAGCTGAGGAGGAGGCAGAGGAGGAGGAGGAGAAGGAGGAGGCGGAGGAGGAGGAGGAGGAGGAGAGGGAAGATGAGGAGGAAAGCAAGGATGGGAAGGAGCAGCAGCTCTGAAGAGGAGGCGGGGGTGGGCGGAGGGGGATGGGGATGAGGAGGGGGGTGATGAGAAGGAGGAGGGGACGGCCGAGGAGGGGTGGGCGATGAGGGGAAGGCGGATGAGCACGAGGGCGAGGAGGGGTCGGCCGTCCCATCACAGGTTCGCCTCGCACGTGGCAAAGAGTGCTCGAGCACCCATCACCTGGGCTTTGCTCCGTCGCTCTCTCTCTCTCTGTCTATGTCTCTACTTATGTTTACAGATTCATCTCTTTCCCTCTCTCTCTCATACATATATATGATATATGCACATATATTTACACACATTTATATATACACATATATGCATTCCCGCGATGCTCACCTACACGCATTCTCTTCACACAATGTCTATATGTATGCATGTACATAGACATGTATGATTTCATCTTCCGTTTTTACGTGACAAAAACAAGGGGGAAACCGCCCCCCAACACAAACACACACACACACACGCGCACGCGCACGCGCACGCGCAAACGCACGCACACGCACACGCACACGCACACGCACACGCACACGCACACGCACACGGACACGGACACGGACACGCACCCCCCCATCACACACACACAGACACACCACACACCGCACACAACACACAACACACAACACACAACACACAACACATACAACACACACACAACACAACACACAACCCACAACACACACACAACACACACCACAGACACCACACACACAACACACACACACACACCAACACTACCCACATACACACACGCACGCACGCACGCACACACAGACACACACACACACACACACGCACGCACGCACGCACGCACGAACGCGCACGCGCACGCGCACGGGCACGCGCACGCTCACACGCACACGCACACGCACACGCACACGCACACGCACACGCACACGCACACGCACACGCACACGCACACGCACACGCACGCGCACACGCACACGCACACGCGCACGCGCACACGCACAGTCACACGCACACAACGCACACACACACACACAACACACACGCACACACACACCACACACACACACAACACACACGCGCACACACACACACGCACGCACACGCACACATACACACATACGAAACACATAAAACACACACAGACACGCACGCACGCACGCACACACGCACACACACAGCTCACACACACAACACACACACACACGCGCACACGCGCGCACACACACGCGCACGCACACACACACGCGCACGCGCACACGCACAGTCACACGCACACACACGCACACACACACACACGCACACACACACACACACACACGCGCACACACACACACGCACACGCACACGCACACATACACACACACATACGAAACACATAAAACACACACAGACACGCACGCACGCACGCACACACGCACACACACAGCTCACACACACAACACACACACACGCGCACACGCGCGCACACACACGCGCACGCACACACACACGCGCGCACACTCACACACGCGTACACGCACACACTTTTTTGATCTGCGGGGCGAGAGCGAACCTCTACCGCTAAAAGCTAGGCGGGCTACGCACAGCTTTAATTCGGGAGACAAGGCACAGGAAGGCCGGGCCTCAGGCGGCCGGAACGGGCGGGGCCCGGGGCGCAGGCGGTGCCGAAGTGGATCTGCAGGAGCAAGTACGCCGCGGACTGGTACCGGGGGCGAAGACCCGGCGGGCGAAGGAGAAGGTATTGCCGTCGACGGCGCATCGCGAACACCGACCTCAAGCACTGCAGAGGGGGACGTGCCGCTTGACCAGGTCGACGGGGGGGCGAGGAGCACCACGAAGGCGATGTGCAACGTTGTGCCACCGGGTGATGCGGAAGAGGCCCGGGGTGGTAGTCCAATCCGCGACCAGGTAGCAGCGTAGCTTGAGGAGCGGCCTCAGACCTCAGACGAGGGGGCTGATCATGACCGACAAGAAGTCGGTGGCTGCAGGGAGAAAGCCCGCCCTGCATCGCCAGCGCGTGAAGACGGGCAGCAGCCGCGCACGATGCGCTGACGTCTGCATTGCCGAGGGCCGGGCCTGAGCCGCGCAGCGCCCTGGCGAGCGGGGCCGCCGAGGCGGCAAGGTGCAGCGCCTGGCACCCGGCCGCGGCCGCGCAGTGCCGGGCGCTGCCGCCATGGGAGGGGGGGAAGCGAGCGGGGGGGGGGAGAAGCGAACAGGAAGGGGAAAGGCCGGCGCTCACCGTCAGTCGTCGAGGTGGGTGGGGGGGAGCAGGCAACGCAGTCTGGGGACAGGTGGGCCAGCAAGCGGACGCTGCGAATGGACTGTGCACGTCTCAAGTGCACCGCTACTGCGCCCGTCAGGCTGCGCGCGCCTGCACCGTGCGCCCGACGTGGGCGCGCGCGGGCAGCCAGGCTCCAGGATCAGCCTGGCCAGCCAAGGCTGCGGGGGAACAGGTAGGGGGGAACAGGAGGACACGGGGTCCCAAGCCAGGTGGTGAGGGGGGGGAAAGGGGGAACAGGTGGCGGGCGTGGCCAGCGGTGGGTTGGGCCAGGACCTTGCCGCAAGTGTTGGGAGCGTAAGAAGGCGGTCGCGGCGCGCTATGCCTGACAGGGGGGGGAAGGGCCGGTTGCAGGCTGGTGAGCGCCTGGGGCGCTTCCCGGTCCAGTTGTCATTGTACCCAGAGCTGCGTGCCTGGTCCTCCCCGCGCCCTTCACCTTTGGCAACCTCTCTTTTCTTCTGGACGTCCTGGTACAGGGCCTTTTCCCGGTCCCGGTCCACTTGGACGCCGGCGTGTCGAAGGCACGTCTCCACGTGATGGTTGCAGCTGTCCATATCATCCAGAAATTTGTCGATTATCTTGGGTTCCCAGCAGTTCGGGTCGAACGCAACCTGGTCTTTGGATTTGCCTTTGCCCTGCTCCTTACACATATGCCTGCACCGCGAGTGCCGGGCTGCGGTGAAGTGGTATCCTCTCTCGGCCTGCAGCCTCTTCAGGCGTGTGACTGCTGTCTCGCGTGAGCGGCGTTGCCAGCTGACGCGGAAGATTGTCCGTGGACGGCTGGGGTCAGGGTAGCGGCGATCGTCCCTGTGGTGAGAGCTGCGTGGACCTTCTGGCTGGCGCCAGGGGGTCCACCCTGTGCCCCTGCCACTGTCGCGGCCCTGATCCCAGTGACGCTCCCTGGTTCTGTCCCAGTCGTTGGTGTCTTGCTTGCGCCACGGTGCTCCCGCTACGCCTTTGTTGCGGTCGCGGTCGCGGTCGCGGTCGTGCTCTCCAGCACGGGCCCGGTCGCTGGTTTCTCTGGACGCGCGCCTCACCGCAGTCTCGCATGACTCCCAGGGAACTGGATCCCGCGCCCTGCCGCGCAAGCGCTCTAGCTCGTGCGCAGGGACGGGGTTGAGTGCGGGGCGCCTGTCTTCCGGGCCTTTGGATCTGGGCCGCGTGTGCAGTGCTCGGTTGTCGGCGGCGGCCGTCAAAAACACGGTCGGTTCCGAGGGTGCGCAGGCTGGCTGGGTCTGGTGTGTGCTGCTTGAGTCGCGCTCGGGACTGCTGCGTCGTTCGTCACGAGGGCTCAGCTTGGCTTGGCCCTCCTCGACTGTGTCGGGGTCTGAGGATGGGGAGACCGCGTGGACCATGCTTAAGGCCTCCGCGAGCCTCTGCTTCCTTGTTCCTGGTCGTCGTTGGTCCAGTCGGGGTCCTGTGTGTCCGTGCGCGGCGCGCAAGGTTCAGGCTTGGAGTCGGGCTGGGTCCCTTCTGGGGACGTGCGCTGGCGTCCCCGATGTCGGCGCCGAGCCAGGAGCTGGCGGGGGCCGCTAGCGCCTGCGCTCCGTGTGCCTCGTCGGAGGTCCTGCCCAGGAAGGCGGCTGCTTGGGGCGCTGCATCGCCGCGGAGGACGTTCGCGCGTAGCGTCCTGGCACCGGCGCCCCAGACTTCCAGCCACTCGTTGTCGATCTGGACGATAAGGGTCCGCCCGGCCTGTTCGCGGGCCAAGACGTTCAGGACGGGTCCGAATACCGCTCCGCCCAGGGGTTGCGTGGACAGGGGCTCGGCGCTGTCCGCTGCACTGAACCGCCTGGCACGGGGGAGGGCGTCGTTCCTGATGACCACGTAGTCGCCGCCCTGGACGCACGGGCTGTCCATTGCGACCGGGCAGAAGGAGCCCTGGATGGGTGTGTCTGGGACTCGCCCTTGCTGCCGATCGAGGCGGCTGGGCCCCTCGCTCTCGGGGAGGGGATCAGGAGCAGCGCTGACGGCCGGTGGCGCCCCAACGGACTTGGCAGCCGTGGGTCGCGTGGCGGGGGGGGTCGGGGCCGGCTCGTCGCCGCGCGGAGTGGGCGGGAGTGAGTCGCCACCGTGAGTGGGCGGGCGGGGTGTCAGGCGCCTTTCCTCGGCGGGTCTTGGGCTCTCAGCCTGGTTGGAGGTGTGGTCGGGACGCGCGCCCGCTCGGGGGGCGGCGTGCTGCTGGGGCTCGCTGCTGGACGTGTGCCCGGCGGCTGGCTGAGCTGAAGCGGTGGCGCTGGGGTCTGTGTGCCTGACCCCTCCGCTGCGTGCCTCCCCGTCACCTTTGTCCCTGATCTGTGCCGCCACCTTTGCGTGCGTCTCCCTGGCCGCCAGCTGTCGCTCCCAGGCTAGGTGTTGCTGCTTGTCCTTCGGAGGTGGCGGAGTGAGTTATGGAGGCGCTCCTGGTAGGCGCGCGCTTCCTCGTCCCAGACAGCGGCGCGCCGCTGCACTTCCTTCTGGTTGGGGCGTACTGCGACCCCTGTCGAGGCGGCGGGGATGCCTGGTAGCGCGGCAAGAGGTCTGGCTCCTGCGCTAGGGTATACGTCAGGGCCGCACCTGTCGAGTACTTGTTTCACTGCTGATGGGGCCATGTCCAATTGGTGGATCAGGCAATCCTTAGCAGTACCAGCCTGCGTGCCAGCGCATGGTCAGGAACATCTCCCTCATTAGCTGTATGGGTGGGAGCCCATGGACCAGGCTAAAGCCGGCGCGGAGACCTTCTGGGTCATCGGCGTGGCCGTACATGCCAGGGAATGCCTGCCCTGGTCCCCATCTGTGTCCCTCTGTGCCCGGGGGGCAGCCGTCGCATCGCCAGATGCCAAAATCCTTCTTGTAGAAATGAGAGATCAGGCGATCGTCGTTCGTGTTACTCGCTGGGAGGGTGGTTCCGACATTGAGCGGATTCAACTCGCCTTCCGGCGGGGCCAGC